ATACACACATGACTGAAATTTAAAGTTTCTATTGGTTTTTAGAAACGTCAAAAATTTATCAAAATAAATTAATCTTGCATACGAAGTCAAAAATTTTTCATTTTGACCGGAGAGATTTTGACCATGTCAAAATCGGAAAATATAAAAACTATTAAAAAAGTGTACTGTAGTAGACCATGGTGCCATCTTAATAATGCTTTTTAAAGTTAGTAATGAAGTAAACTTGGGAATCCCAAATTGAATTTTACTCATAACGTAGCTTTTTTATATCTGCCTATAACAAACGTTACTACCAGTTTGTACTGTGCTACGTTTTCTCAGGTAAAGCCTGGTTCTAACAGAAAAGTAATTTAATTTAAAATGTAATTTAATTTATTTTTATTTTTTTATTTATTTATTAAATTGAAACTACAAATCAACTTGTAATAGCTGTTAACGTAGAGTAATCATTACAATAAAGAAAAAATAGATTTATAAATTGAATAACAGTATAATAATTATAAATTGTCCTTGATGTACTTTTTCAATGATTTTATAAATTTTTCATATTTATCCAAGGATTTAATGGAGTTTGGTAGATCATTGAAGATTTTAACACCCTGTTGTATTGTTGATCCAGAAGCCTTTTTGGTCCTAACTCTGACTGTTCTGAGGTTTTGTGCTCCTCTAGTTTCATAGTTGTGAAAATCCGAGTTTATGTTCAAGCTTGCACTTATTTTAATGTCTTTGTTTTTTATCTTATATACTAATTTGCACAATTCGAAACTAATTAACTGTTTAATATTCATTACCGGAATTATTTTATAAAGGTCTTTAGTTGGTGTATCATACGGTAGATTAAAAATTGCTTTTAGCGCTTTATTTTGCAGTCTTTGCATTCGGTTTAGATTTCGTTGGGATGTATTTGACCATATTGCTATGAGATAACTTAAGACTGATTTAATATATGAGTTATATATAAGGAATCTGCAACTCTCCGTCAAATATTCATTTACACGTCTAAGCGCACCAACTAAGCCACTAAGTTTGTTATATATTTCACCAATATGTTCATTGAAAGTCAAGTTTTGATCAATTGTTAATCCAAGGTATTTATAGAAAGTCACTTTTTGAATGGGTACATTGTTTATTTTAAGATTCACTTTTGGGTTGTTTTTATTCTTTAAGCTAAACTGCATATATACAGTTTTTATTTCATTCACTATTAATCCATTTGAACATAGCCAATTATAAAACTTTTTTAAGTCTTTATTAATGATGTTTTCTATTGTTTTCATATCCTCATGATAGTACAAAAGTGCTGTATCGTCTGCAAACATGTAGTGTTCTCCTAGTAAACCAGCTTTTGTTAGGCTTTCTACATATAATAGATACAGTATAGGGCCTAACACTGATCCCTGAGGTACGCCTGTCTCCACTTTTAATGGGTCACTGATGCAGTTATTAGTGCTTGTATACTGTTTTCTGTCATGGAGGTAAGTTTTCATAAGCAATATAGCTGGACCTTGAATACCATTCTTTTCTAATTTTTTTAAAAGTAACTCTAATTTTACTGTATCAAACGCTTTTTTCAGATCGACAAAAACTACTATAAAGTTAAAAACCCAACAATCCTTTGTAACGTTCATACAGTGATGTAATTTAAAACTTAATTTAATAGTTGGCCAACTTTTATCTTTTAAATTAAATTACGTTATTTCAAGGTTATTTCGTATTATCTAACCTATTTTGGAAGAATCTAACCTATTTTGTGTAAACGGTTTTAATAATAAGACAAATATTTCGATTGTAATTACCAAAGTAAGCCATATATATCTAAAACTTTAAGTTTTAGATACATTAATTAAGCACTCTCTTTAAAATATTATTTTTAATTTCAAACGCTATTAAATTACGTTACTTTTTGTATGAACGCAAGTAAATTAAATTAAATTACTTTTAAAGTTAAATTAAATTATATTACGTTATTTCTCTGTTAGAACCCAGCTTAAGTTATAACGCCCAGTTTAGATGAAAAAGTAATTTTTAATTTTTCCATTCCATCTGTTTTATAATAGTATATTCTGTAACAAGTTTGGAATAAGGCATATTCCGCTCCAGTGAAAAGTTTGTCACACGAGCTGAAGGCGAGTTTGACGGTTTCAGACTATACTTTTTCTACGTTTCCAAAAAATACCATAGACAAATAATTTAATTGGAAGAAAGTGAGGTTGGATCGGTCTAAAATTTGTTAGATATTAAAAATAGAGATGTCGCCACGAGTGTTTATTCTGTCATCAGATGATAGAATATTTCATTCTGTAACACTTTACGGAATATATGTCATTCCATAGAGAAAAGTGATATTAGAACGGTCATATTCCATAATAGGAGTAGAAAAACATACTTTTTTTGTTGACATAAATTTCTGATGATATTTCTATTCATGAAATTTAACGAGTTTATGCACGCTTCTATTCGGTATTAACTTTTAGTGTTCTTGAACAAAGTAACCGCTTCTATACGTTTAAATCCTGAATATGAGCTCTGAAAAGAAGGTGACGAAACCGCGATCCCAATCGAATGTTTTACTGAATTTAGGGAGGAAAATAAGGTCAAAGGAAAATATAGATACTGTCACACAAGTTGATAGAATGCATAGGCAAATTCTAAAACAGTGCAAAAAAATTCCGGAGAATGACAAACAAAAATATAAAAATGGAAGTCCTTCATTAACTGTGTTCCTAACCAATCTAAAATTAACATTTTTAATTTTATTAATTATTAATAAAAAAATTATTGATAATAACAATATACGCTGTATTATATTAAATTATACAGTTTATGTATTTTAGGTAGCTCGTCATGGTGAAGAAGATAGCGACAGTGACCTTCATGATAAAGAAGAAGCTGTATTTGCAGAGCAAATCAAGAAGAAACGATTAAATTTATATGAAGAACGTACTGCTGGCCCATTAGGGCTAAGTAAATTAAAGAATCAAAAACTGGCGATTTTTTTTGATCTTTTAAATCTAGAACAACAGTCGGAAATGTCTGAACATTTCTGCAATGCAGTATACTCTTCAAATTGTGCCCTCTCCATGTTTGAAAGCAAACATTGGAAAAAGTTCTTCAACTTATGCAGGCCAACTTTTAAAGTTCCGAGTAGAAAACATATGTCGACTACACATCTAGGTGTGTCCTATGAAAAGATAAGAAATCAAGTAAAATCACAAATTGACGATGAAGCGACGGTTTCTATCATGAGGGACGGTTGGTCGAACATCAAGAATGAAGGCATTATTAACTACATGGTTCACACAAGTAAAGGAGACCTATTTTATGACTTCTCATTGCCAAAAGCCCAAAAGCACACTGGGATATATATTGCCTTGGAGCTAAGCAGAATTATCGAAGAGATAGGAAAAAGCAAGATTACTGCTGTTGTTACAGATAACGCGGCTAACATGAGAGCAGCTTGCGATGGACTAATGATGAGGTACCCAGGTCTTCAATGTATGGGATGTGCTTCTCATACGCTCAATTTGCTAATGAAGGATATGGAGTCCATGACGACGCTTCGGGATCATGTCACAAGTTGTAAAGAAATAGTGAAGTTCTTTAAACTAAAACATGTGCCAAATGCAGTTTTGCAAGATAAACAATGTGGCAACAGCAAATCGTTGAAAATGCCTGTAGAAACCAGGTGGGGAAGTACAGTGGCTTGTATGGACAGCATTCAGGCAAACAAACAATCGCTTAGAGAGTCGATCATAAATAGTGACGTGGAGAGTATTGCTCCCGCTAAAATTAAGATTTTTTCCGATGTTCTGGGACGGGAACGATAAATTCTTAAAATTACTTTCTCCTGTGATTAGACTAATTACATTTATGGAAAATACCAATGCCACTTTGTCGGACGCAAGGTGGACCCACGATACAGAGGAAAAAACTTGCAGCATGAGGAACTTGCTCTTTCTTTAGCAGATGACCATATCAAGGTTATAGGGGAAATTACAAACTACAGAACACAACAAAACGTATTTGATAAAGCAATTATTTGTACCGTTACCTCTGTATCTAAAACTCCATCCGATGTCACGCCCGTTTCGTGGTGGAAGAATTGGCTTCCGAATTGCTCATTAAAGGATGTTGCTGTGAAACTGTTGGGCACTTTCTGCAGCCTCTTGCGAGAGAAATTAGTCCGCTTGGGGTTATTGTCCACAGTAAGCTTCGCAACCGATTGAAAACCACTCGTTCAGGAAAGCTTGTTTATATAAAGTACAACTTGAAGCTGTTAAGTGGAAGTGAAAATAAAAAATGCGGAAATTCGGAGGAAACAGCGCTAAATTTTAGTAGTGAGGATGAAATCGATGATTTTGAAGAACATGAAGACAATGGCGAGGCTGGGTTCAGTGACGAGGATGATTTGCCCTTATCTACCCATACCAGCACTGCCAGCAGTCATAAGTATTATTAGAATATTTGAATTTTTTGTCCCTCAGAATGGTTTCTTTATCTTTTGTTAGCAGTTTTTCAATAAATACAAGTTTCTATTTAATTACTCATGCCTTCATTTCTTTAGAAATTAACTAAGGAATTTGACCGGTGTTTAGTCAATTGACCGGTCAATTAACCACAAAAGATTATGACCGGTCAAAATCCCAACCCTACCGTAGGACCGATCAAAAAAATCAAAAATCAAAAAAAATAAATAGGTCTTGGTAGGATCCGATCAAAAACAAATAAGTCACATGAAATCTGGTCATAAACATGTCCATTCTTAAAAATTGATTTTTTTAATTCTGTAAGTATTTTGATCACGAAGAGGATTTAGAAACACGCTTTATATTTCAAGAATTTTATGTATTTAAAAACAGTTTTTTCGCTCCTGAAAAATCTAATCAAAGGGACATATTTGGTTTTGACCAGACGCTCCACAATTATTCTAGGATAAGTATCAAATATGTTTTGTTTTATTAAGAAATTTCAGGAACTTTTTTTGACTGAATAGTTCTTACCTTTATAATTGTAGAAGTTTCTATCATCTCCAACATAAAAGTAGACAATCCCTTTAGCTGCGAATCATCCGCGCCAACTCTGGCCAAAATGGCATCAACTATGCTAACCTCGGCCATATCGCAGGGCACCATGCTTCCAATATGTGCTAACAAAACGCATACTCCCACACTCCTTATGTAGGTACTCTTACCGCACATGTTCGGACCCGTAATAATGTGCAAAGTTTTGTTGTTTTGATCAAATTCGGCGTCGTTCGGAATGAACGCCACCTGTTCCTGCTGTTCCAAGCAAGGGTGACGGGCTTGCTTTAGTTTTAAAACGCCCGCGTCTTGTTTGTGAAGTTTTGGTCTTACGTAGGGAATACGAGCCGATACAGCCGCGGTAGCGAACGATACGTATACGTCAATTTTCGCTATGAGCATGTTAAGGCTGCGAAGAGTATCAGCATAACCACCTGTAAAAATGTGCTTTAATCAGTTTATCCAGGATGCCCTGAAAATGGCGCACTAACGTCATATCACGCGACAAAAAATTATCTGGCAATATATATTCGAGTAATTGAGCATTTGAATATAAAAAACTTAGCAACGCTATGTTCTAACTATGCTATAAATGAGGAGGTGCATTCCAAAACTCGGCTTATCCATATTAGTTGTTTTTGAAAAAAACCTTACACGTGACGAACGAAATATATAGGCATAAGTAAAACCTTTAAGTATATACCTTAATTAAAAAGGTATAGCTCCAATTTTAAATAATTTAAAATAACATACATATAAGCCAAGTTTTGCATGATATAACCAATAGATAAGGCAAGTTTTCTAACGACAGTCAATTTGTAAATGAATTTTAAATGGAATAAATATTAAATGTACAGACACCACTAACTCATTTTTATTAAAAAGTGGATAAGCCGAGTTTTGTAATGGACCTTCTCAAATATTCCACATATAAAAAAAGGTTATGGAAACAAAAAATTAAAATAAAGGTAATAATCATGTTTTGTGCTTGTATATAGTTATTACAAAATTAAAATCGAAATACCTATCTATAAACCCATCTATATAGTATACAGGGTGTCCCAGAACTCGCGCCACAGAGAAAAAGGGGGCGTGCCAATGCAATGGAGAGCCAAATTTAAAAATAAAAATTTTTTAGGTAATAGTGTAATCGAATGAGAGCAAAAAAGCGGCAGCCAATACCGAGAGATCTCGCCTAGGTTAAACGTAGGAGCTTTAAAAATTGCTAGGAGACGATAGAACATTGTTGTCTTAAAAACATTTAAAAATCTTTTGGCCAACTGTATTTACTAAGTTGTCAAAAGCTTTCAAAAAATGAGGTTATTAATCTATGACTGATACTTCAGAACGCCAATGTTTTAAAGTAAAAAATCAAACCAGTTGTACTTTATTTAGCTTTTTTTGCGCCCACGCTCCCCATAAATAGTTATCATTTCGGTATAATCATCAAGGAAAACATTATTTATAATAACTTAATTTATTACCTAATACAATATTAATGACAAAAGTAAAGATTGACAGCATTGTCAATAATAACTTAATTTATAACCTAATATAATATTAATGACAGGAGTAAAGATTGACAGCAGTGTTACAATGAATTGGATTCCAGTGGACCAAATATTTTACATATTTTTTATTATCAACAATGCAACCTAAGTATCCTAGCAATTTAAAGAATTCCCTGTGGTGATCTATTGGGATTGGCTATCGTTTTTTATTCTTATCTCCCTTATTCTTTGCGTTGGACAATTTGAATTTTTAAATATGTGTCTCAAATTACTTTCGGTACGTTCCCTTTTTCTCTGTGGCGCGAGTTCTGGGACACCCTGTATATATTGTCGTGACGTCACCAGTGAAATAAACCTTAAATGTAATGCTGCGTCGACATCAGCCCAAACTTGGAAGAGTTGTATGTACTGTACTTCAATATTTAACTAATTAAGTGACGCGTTTCGTATATACATAGCGTTCAGGGTTTACAGTGGTTTAGTAATTTGCTTATATCTTTCACAAATATTAGGTAACCAACATAAAAACAAACAAGATTTTAAGTCAAATTTTTATGCTCTCTCTTTGGAGCCTCTGTTCATTAAAATTAAGTTGCAAATACAAAAGCTACGGGGGGATTCCTTCTTAAATAGGCCACTCTATATACAATATACATATATACAATACACATTATAATTATATATATAAATTTGTCAAAATCGCTAATGTCGAGGCAGATAAGTGGATAGATATTATGTGAAAAGTAAAATTAGATAGAAAGCTTTATTGTGTGTAGAATTTTAAGAAATTCATGTGAATTTGTGTACGGAAATGCTTAGAATTCGGAACCGTACTTGGAAAACGCCCTTATATCGGGAAGTAAATTTCGTATAGACTGTCCAGAAAGTCAGCATTTTCTTTAGATATTTATATTTAAAATAACTATAACATTAACATATACATAAACTTGCGGACAGAACTTTTTAGTGTATGTTCTTTCCATTGCTTACTTCAAACCACTTCTTGTCTTGTATAGGTTCGTTTTTTTATAGAGCTGCATTGACTTCTCTGGTATTATAGAACAACATCCTATTTCTCACGATTTGTCAACGTGTCTATATTTTCTTCAGGATTACTCATAGGTTTATCAATAAAAAGGCATTTCTAGGTAGCTTTTCATCCGCGTTTGACAATAACGTGATACTAAGCAATATAATTAAAAAAATGCCTACAGTTATAAAGAAAATGCTATAGTTATAAAGCGAAAAACGTGTCTAAAATTAAAATGCTCAAGTAATTTGTTTTACTAAATGTCTGGCAAAGGCGGATTGTGGATTTTGGGTCTACCGATATCTCAGTTATTCACTAAATTTTATCGGCAAATTTTAAAATTTATTTAAAAAATCTAAGAATTACAGATTTCATACCATTTTAAATTTTTATTATTCTTTTGACTAAAATTTAAAAAAATTAAAAATGGTATAAAATCTGTAAGTAATGAATTTTTGAAATTTGTCGATAAACTTGAATTATGAATTGCACCACTTTAATTTGAATATTTTTAATTAGGGGTGGCAGGGGGATGTTAAGGCGCGCTGAAAAACTAACTTTTTTCGCAAACTTATTTAAATTCTGCTTGCGCAGAACTTGTCTATTTAATGTCATTACAAACTCAAATAAGTTTGGTGTGGGTTCCATGTCTACTAACTGAGATATCGGTATACCCAAAATCCCAATCCGCCACTGATTTCTGGTTATAATAATATTATGGTCATACAATAAATTGTATGCATAAAAGCATCTCGAACAGTAAGGGTTTACAGATCTCCTACATATTGGTCACTTCCCCGCGCTTAGTCGCCACACACTGCTAGTCCTCACTTATTGGGTCTAATAAATATATGCAAAAATCGGACCTTATATGCGGTGGATGCTGCAGGATATACATAGCCCGGTTTGTACTCTGCTTGATCGGTTCTTTAATATACAGCCAAAAAAACATTGTTATAATGGGTGTAAGCAAGTATACTTTTTATCGTATTGGCGCTAATTTTAAATTGAGCAAAGCCGCATCAAATAAGACTAGTTAAGTACAAGAAAAGCACCTTTCCTCACAACGCTCTTAAAGTACGCAGTGTTGCCAGTGTGACGGACCTCAATTTTTGAGCACGGTGAAGCATCGAAGTTATACATCTTTAAAATATACAAATTTTGAAACGCCCCCTATAACAAAACGTAAAACTACAGTATACACATTTTTTTGTTCACTGCACAAAGTGAGGACCAAAGTAATAACTTGTTAATGGTGCCTCCTGTGAAAGGTGGTGACAATTTCAAGGGCCGAACGTTGTGAGGTATATATACGGACCTCACTTTGAGTCGGACCTCACAACTACCTTGATTTTGCCCTGTACGAACCACACTAAGTTTGTTATATACAAGGTGTCCCTAAACTTAGTGGCATAAATTTAGGAGCAGATTAAGCAAGTCAATATAAGACGAAAATCTAAATACATATTTTTCCTAAGTACGTATGTTTAAAAGATACAGGGTGGTAAATTGTTACTTATCATATGAGTTTTTTTAATATAACTACTATGGTAGACTTGGAAAGGTGATATTTTGCGAACAGTCACTTACTAGCAAAACACATATTAACACATAATTACAATTGTTCGAGTGAACACAGTGTCGTGGAAACAGGGGTTGCTTAAGCTTTTTGTCCCATACAAACTTTGAGGTTAGGTTTTTATACCATTTGATGTAATTTTTCGATTACTCAGTTCGGCTACTATTAAAAAAAAACTTAAAAAAAACTTCTACAAAATAAACCGTTTCCGAGATATTCGAGATTACAATAATTGTTATATCGCATTAAAGGACTAAAAGGTATATGATAACAAATTTTTTAATTGAAAAAACTACAATTTTTGTTAATGTGACGGTTAGGGCAAAAAGTTTCGAGGCTCATGGAATGCCCTTTTTAGTTTTTTTAATTAAAAAATAAAATTTGCTATCATATACCTTTTAATCCTTTTAAATAATGCGATATAACAATTATTGAAATCTCGAATATGTATCTCGGAAACGGATTATTTTATCGAAGTTTGAGAAGTACACCTTCTTAATGGTAGCCAAACTGTGTATTCGAAAAATTGCATTAAATGTTGCAAAAACCTAACCTTAAAGTTTGTATGTGACAATAAGCTTAAAGCAACCCCCGTTTCTACGACACTGTGTTCAATCAAACAATTGAAATTATATGTGAATATGTGTTTTGGTAGTAAGTGACTGTTCGCCAAATATCACCTTTCCAAGACTATCATAGTAGAAGTTATATTAAAAAAACTGATAGGATAAGTAACACTTTATCGCTCTGTATCTTGGAAACATAAGTAATTAGGAAAAATATTTATTTAGGTTTTCGACTTATTTTAACTTGCTCAATCTTTTCCTAAATTTATGCCAATAAGTTTAGGGACACCTTGTATATACAGGGTGTTTCATACCAGGAGGCGAAAAATGAAATTCTATATTCAAAACGTCATTCTAAATAAAAATCTTTAATACTTTTTTGTTCTATCATTTTTCGTTTTCGAGTTATTCGAGTTCAAAGTTTTGAATTCAAACAATGAAAGGATAACAATATGCAATAATAGGATTCATAATTCTAGCAACCAAAATACTTACTTTTTTTCCGATTGTATGCAAACTAGGGTGCTTCAAAAAAAATTTTTTTTCAACTCTTACCTCCCCCGTCTTTTTTGTAGAGCGTTACATTTTACATAAGAAACTGCAATGATCATTGCCATAAGTTAAATAAAAAAAAATTTTTTAAGCACCGTAATATATATATATATATATATAGTATGTGGTTTTTCGGGATCATTTGGTTCTTTTCTGTAGCTCAGAAATATACTCTTTGTTCCAGCGCGCTGCAGCG